GGCGCCCCGCAAGCAGCTGGCCACCAAGGCGGCCCGCAAGAGCGCGCCGGCCACGGGCGGCGTGAAGAAGCCGCACCGCTACCGGCCCGGCACGGTGGCGCTGCGCGAGATCCGGCGCTACCAGAAGTCGACGGAGCTGCTGATCCGCAAGCTGCCCTTCCAGCGCCTGGTGCGCGAGATCGCGCAGGATTTCAAGACCGACCTGCGCTTCCAGAGCTCGGCCGTCATGGCTCTGCAGGAGGCCAGCGAGGCCTACCTGGTGGGGCTCTTCGAAGACACCAACCTGTGCGCCATCCACGCCAAGCGCGTCACCATCATGCCCAAGGACATCCAGCTCGCTCGCCGCATCCGCGGAGAGCGCGCTTAAGTCTCCTGCCGCAGCCCTTCTCTGGCAAAGCACGGAGGCAGCCCACACAGACCCAAAGGCTCTTTTAAGAGCCACTTCACAGGTCAATAAAAAGAGCTGTAATTCTGCTTTAAAGGGGTCATGGCTTTAGAATTTATTTTCGGAGAGGTTTTATTTTGAGATTCCAACTGTTTTTTTTTTTATTTACATATACTGAATTGTGCGTAGTAAACCATTAAGACTCAATATTTTTTTCTCTGTAGTTCGCTTACAGTACTTTATGAACTTTAGGTGAGGGATTGAAACACAAAGGGGTGAAGTGAGAAATCGATATACCAAAAACGAGTTAAGCAGAGAGCCTGAGGAAGTAGGGGTCTGCAGAGCTGGCCTCTACACAACTTTAAGGGAGAATGGAAGTGGAAAGGGCTGGTGATGGATGGCTACAGTCTCACCAGTATTCAGGGAGGGTTCATGCTCAGGAAATCTGCACCTTAAACTCAGTGGCTGGCTAAGTTAGAGTAGAAACTTCCTGTGGTCACTGGAACTGTGTTACTGTCAAAACTGGCTAAAACAGATTGTCTTAAAAGGGCTTCCGCCTAGTTCCAACGACTGCTAATTGCAGGAGCAAAAATATCCATTTCAATAAATCAGTTTTGAGGCTGGTCTCAAAATGACGGACTACCATGCTGGTGACACAGGGCACCTGAGAGTTCTTTTCTGCAGCACAGAAAAGCACCTGAAAAGGCCAAGGAACTGAAAAGTACTATAGAGAGGATTAGCTTACTGTGTTTGCCCAGATTTGTTGACACATAATAATAAAACACAGTGGGAAAAAGTTTATGTATTTTCTGAGCATTTTGGGGGAAAGGGGTATTTTTAACAAGAATTTTATGGAAATCTTGGAGCAGAAATTTATGTGTTCAAACAATAATGGGTATAAATGTATGTATATAAAAAGCTTTAGTGCTGATAAACCCAGCAGTTTCACTGGGTGGGGGAGCAGAGACAAGAGTGAAGGGGGAAATGTTAATACAGTCGCTGGAGAACGTCAAGTGCATGATCCAAATTTTATCCCTAGCCAACTCGACCCACGCAGTTTTAAATATTGCCTTCCATTTTTGTCAGGTTTGGCAGTTACAGAGATGTAGGTCATTTTGCATGGAGCTCTACATCCTGTTCACACACTCAGCGTTCAAGAGGCACGTTATTTTTCAGTACGTGCAAAACACTGCTGAGATAGTGCTAAGCAACCGAAAATGAAATGCTCCTGGGGTAAAAAAAAATCGTTGCTATGCAAAACGTAAGGAAGAAGGAGCTGGCCACAGTAATACACCTGTGGCAGTTGTAAAGCAGGATTACAGCTCTTTTTGTTGACCTGTGAAGTGGCTCTTAAAAGAGCCTTTGGGTCTGTGTGGGCTGCCTCCGTGCCTTGCCAGAGAAGGGCTGCGGCAGGAGACTTAAGCACGCTCTCCGCGGATGCGGCGAGCGAGCTGGATGTCCTTGGGCATGATGGTGACGCGCTTGGCGTGGATGGCGCACAGGTTGGTGTCCTCGAAGAGCCCCACCAGGTAGGCCTCGCTGGCCTCCTGCAGAGCCATGACGGCCGAGCTCTGGAAGCGCAGGTCGGTCTTGAAGTCCTGCGCGATCTCGCGCACCAGGCGCTGGAAGGGCAGCTTGCGGATCAGCAGCTCCGTCGACTTCTGGTAGCGCCGGATCTCGCGCAGCG